CTTTTTTTGTTGTTGGAGGCAGGGTCTTGCCTGTCAGCCAGGCTGGAGTGGAGTGAAGTGATCATGGCTCACTGCAGCCTCAATCTCCTGGGCTCAATTGATCCTCCCCCCTGAGACTCCGAGTAGCTGGGACGGCAGGTGCAAACCACCACACGCAGCTAATTTTTGTATTTTTTGAAAAGACACCGTTTCACCATGTTGCCCAGGCTAGTCTCAAGCTCCTAGGCTCAAGGGGTCGACCTGCCTCAGCCTCCCAAAGTGCTAGAATTACAGGCATGAGCCACTGTGCCTGGCCTGCTATCTTTATCTTGAGAGAGATTTGTACTTGAAAGTACTATATACCATAATGAGAAGACAGACTAAATATGGCTTCATTACAACAAACATTTTGATAAATTCCATTGTTTACTACTGTATGTTAAAAATTTATGTAGTAGCTCAACAAGTGCCTAAAATATGCCATAAAAATCAAGGTGCTTTCCCTGCTGGAAAAGGTCTTCCAGCTTCATCTAATTAAATCAGCAGCATTCATTAGATAGCAGTTAAATTCTACCTTCTCTTTGATATCTCCCTCCTTTGTATTCCCCAACCTGAGGGCTGAGGGTTTTACCTTTCCCTCTCTAATTTTCTGTGACCCACTGCTTATGCTTCTGTTATGAGTGATTAGAAGCTTCATGTTGTAGATTTTGTATATCTGTGATCTACAGCACATGACAATTAGGGGATGTGTTTTATCTACATTGCTATCCATTGCAGAACCTAGTACACAGACAGAGATGTTCAAAAAACATGTGCTGAATATTTCTGGCTTTCTATAAATAGTCCATTTCCCTGTTCCATTAAAGAACATTATTGTCCATCTAATCACAGGACATTATGCAGCACCCTTTGTGTCTTAAGAAACATGGGGAGAAGTTACAATGTACTCAGTCAGCATCATCACTGCATTGCAAAGCCCTGAAATTGCAGTTGTTTTGGAAAGGGGTAGAGAGAGAACATGACTATGCTTTACAAGTTAATCACTACTGTTCGGATCATCTTACCAAAGGGTGGAGGAATTGGCCGAGGCCCAAAATGTCCACAGAACTGAGGTAGTGGTCCATATCGAATAGGTGGTGGTACAGGGCCTCCCATGAGGGTGCTCATAAGAGGGGTTCCTGGGAAAGGAGGGGGCCCTTTTGGAATCATATTCACCTGCAGAGTAGAAGCAATAGAAGCTTTGAAATACTCTGGTATGACAGACAAAAGTACCAACACCAGTAAATTCTAAAACCAATGAAGAACATCTCAGGCACCTGTCCAAAGAGCAGAATTAGTGCAACAACTACTGCTCTCATTTGTTCCCACCGACAGCTTAGAAAGGTTAAAAGTATGTCACAGGAGTGAACATTTTTGCTATAATCATATTATTGCTTATATCTGCACATGGAAAGGAAAGCAGAGGTTATAAAGGGAAGTCATTCTTCACTAATACTATTTCTAAGGCAGTCACTCCCTCTGCACATCCCTCCCATCAGAATAATTTCCATATTTAAAATGCAAAGAATGAAACGGAATGAAAAATCCATTCTCTACCATGTCATAGTAATTATTCCGAGTACCTTCAACAGGCCTTACATACGTTAACTGGAATTCTCCTATCTCTAAATCTCTAATAGGACAATCTTGTTCTAAATATGCAGGAACACAGGCAAATAAAGTATGAGATAATTTGCTGACAGTACACAGCATGTAAGAACCTGGGCTGGAATTCAATGCCAGGTTTGACTCCAAGGCCATGTCCTTTCCACCTCTACTTCTCCTCTCTAACAAAGTAGTCTCTAATGTCTTTGAAGTCTTCTACTTCAAAGGGGTCTTGGGTCTTGTCCAAGTTGCACTTGGATAAAAAGATTTCTCAAGAGATGTATATTCCTCAAGTCATGTGCTGGAACTCGAAAGCGTGTTCCAAGAGGAACAATGTTATATACACAAACTACACAGGCACACTCTATTTACCTTCATTCCCTAGTAATACTGTCTACTATGAGACACTGACTAATCATTTCCTATGGGAAAGTGGTTTGAAAACTCTCAATCATTAAAATAAATGTACTTTGATTTCAATACAGAGAAGCATGGTGAGGTATGATCAGAGGACTTACCAGCCTTAACAGCTAAACAAGTTACAAGAGAATACACTTATGTGAATACTGTTTAAGGACACTGCTGAGACCTGGCTCAATGGGTAATTACAGACTTCCACTATTCAGTACTGCACTTCCAACAAACATTCTTCTGTTATCAATCTGTAATTTCAGATCATTCAAAATAGGTTTTGCCTAGTATACAATTGGAGACATTCTTAAATAGAACATTTCCAAATGAAGACATAATAATGAATTATACAATTTACAATGAATTTACTTTGCATAAGAGCATTAAACACTTAAATACAGAAAAGCGGAGACTTTTCACTTTTGCTTAAGTTAATTACAGTTACAGCAAATGCTCTACACAGGTTATATGTCTAACCAAACAGAAGAGAGAAGAAAAGCCCAACAAATCAGTCAGATTTCAGGAGCACTCCCAAGTCAAGGACAGAAGTAAGATCAATATCGCCAGGCAATTTATAGCCCAGTTCAGTCCACACTTCTAAGTGCTTACTGCTACTGGATGCTTAGCTGAAGATGTAATGCTGAGAACTGAGGGGACTTCAGGCTCTTGGAGAACAGTTTGCTTTTTTAGAAAAATAAATGAGACAGTACCGAAAGATCACAAAAATAGGAGATGAAGGAAAGAGAGAGTTGTAGGAAAAGCTAAATGTCCTTGAAATAGCTATTCAAAATGGATACGTTTACCTTGCCTTCATCCATCACCCTGGTAGTGGAAGAGCCTCTTGAGCTGTTCATCATGGCAGCTGTGCCATATTCTTGATCTGTTAAAGACCAGATAACGGACATAGGCTTACTCTGACTTGTGTACTCTATGAGGAGGATAAAAAAATCCTCTCCCCACTTCCTGCATGGTTTTAGACTCTTTAAACACTCTTGCTCCCTTAGGAGAAGGAGATGGTTGTCCGAATGCCTCAGTGGACCATTGTGGAGGAGACAGAGGCCCGTCCACTGATCCTTGTGAAAGAAACAACAGAGCCCTTCAATGTAATTTTCAGAAAAAATAACAAGCTGTAGACAGGTTAGGGTTCAAGTCTATCTGGAAAGTAACATTAAAAACGGGTCTCCCGATACTCATGAAGGCAAATGATTTACAATTTATTCATGGGCTTAAAAAATTAACATAAGAAATGCTGGGCCGGGTGTGGTGGCTCACGCATGTAATCCCAGCACTTTGGGAGGCCGAGGCGGGTGGATCCCGAGGTCAACAGATCGAGAC